TGAAAAAAACCCATTTACAATAGGTAAAAAATTAGAAAAAATTCAATTATAAAAAATTCATTTCAACCATGAATGTAATTTTTAATTACCTATCGACTGATGTGCATATGGTCCCTTAAAGAACGTCCCCCCCTTGGTATTCAATCTGGAAAAAACCCACTTACAATAGGCAAAAAAATTCAATTAATTTTTTCAATTCATACTTAAAAGGTTTGTAAATTAAAATCTCTCTTGTAACACCAGCTTCGTAGCTCCATAAAAATATATATTTCTTTTTTCTTTGCCATTTATTGCTCTTAATGCATCTAGTATATTATTTTCCAGCACTGCTCTTGTTCTTGTATTTTTTTAACGGTAATAAACTAGAAGCTAAAAATAGGTCATTCATTTTCACTATATTATTTTTGTACTGAAAAATAAAAAAATCACTTTGTCTTTTAATTTAACAAGTTTTTATAACCTCTAAACCAAATTAATATATAACATATTATTATCAACATTGAAATGTTATGGTTAGCGTTATTGTGCAATTTTTTAGCCTGGAAATATACATTACAAGACAACTGTTCATTGAAATAAAAAATAATATGATAACAAACATAGTAACAATGCACAAAGTTTGTATTTCAACATTTAACATATATTATATCTTATGTTTATAACCCTTTATTATTATTAAACTTTATTGATCTAAAACATTCTTTTGGATACATTTATGGAGATTTGTACATGTAGATCATTCTAACGTCTTTCCTCGAACGAAACATAATTTATTAGCAATAATTTTTCACTAGCAATATTTTGTACCGTTATCACATTTTTGCTTATATTTAAAATGTATAGTTTAATTGCTTTATATTTATAGATAGCTATTTATTCATTTATTTTTTCAAACGCTATGGTTTTTTGCAAAAATTACTAATTTCAGGACAATAAATCGATTCCTATTACTTGAAACATTTTTCAATAGTAAACTATAAACATAAATGAAATTGAGTCAGAAGTTAAACGGCAAATTATATGACCATGTAATGTTAAACAAGTGGGCTTTTTCTCAAACTATAGCTTCTTGTTATAATGTGCAAATAATAATAATAATTATTATAATAATAATATTAATAATACGATTAAACTCTTATTTCCTCAATTGCCAAAAAAAGCAAAACCTAATGATATTGAAATAATACAATAAATGTTATCATTATTATTAGTGTATTTGTAGCGCCTTTTAAAAAAATTTCAGAGGCGCTATAGATTATAAAAACATTGCGTAAATTAAATTTGTTTCAACAATTCCATTTTGCTGCAGCCTAACAACTGATTTTGGTGAACTAGGTTCATTGTACAACGCTACAGTAAATGGATTTTTCAAATAATCATTACTAAACCGCTACTCAAATTTTTCATTATTTCCATGATTTTGATTTTTGATTTGATTGGTACAAAATATAAAAACCACAAAGATATGTAACTCAACAAACTGTAAATATTTAACGGTAAATATACTGTGACTTCATTGCTAATACACAAAAATCATAATTCAATGGTTATTTATGAAACTCATATGATTAATGCAATATTTGCATGTGAACTTGTGATTATCTAATATAATCAATCAATCAATCAATCTTCGTTTTGCGTCCCGAGGTAGGACGTTATCTAATATAAGATCTGCAAATTTAATTTTTAGGCAGATTTCATGAACACATCTTTTGGAAATGTTACATTGCATCCATTCATCTTTTCTTTGATGCGTGTTTTGCAGACCACAATACAAGCAATAATTTTCCATTGAGATTGATAAGCATAATATCTCTTTGATATTTAACTCTTTCAGCAGCCGGATCAAAAAACCTTCCAATTTTTTCTCTGAATCAATCAAACGCAGCATATTTATCAAAAATATGCCACAATTGTAGGCATCCGACTGTTTGTAAGAATTAGGTTGTTTAATATATGTTAATGATTTTGTTGAGATTAGCATACAGACTGACAAATAACAGCTCAGCAAATTTGTCATCGTTTATGAAGTTAAAAGGATTATACAAATAAAAAGTTGATGTTTCAGAATTTGCAACAAAGCAACATAAATGATCACCGTTTTGCAAATATGGTAGAAAAAGGTACTTCTTCGAAAATAATGGGTATTGATATATTTTGCAATCTTTGGTAAATGGTTCATTTAACACTGCCGTACATAAACTGCTTGAAATGTAGATTGAGTTTTTCATTTTGTAAGTTTTTAACAAAAGCACATCCATTATGGTGGTTGATATCCACTCCATGCCACCAAGTGTTCTAAAATCTTCAAATATCACTGAAGTTCTGTCAATTTTGGCCATGACCATAATTTCATCACATAGATTGTTCACGTAATAAATTTGGATCATTAACTAGATGATTATCCAATAATTAAACTTTTGCAATTTTTGAAGATAACACTTCGTTGCTGTTGAAACAGTTACAGATTTTTTCATTTTCAGTATTTACATTAGTGGATGAAACCCATTTTTGACCCCCAAGTGCTGTAAAATCTTCAACAATAACAGAATTGTCAGTTGCTATTACGTTGAAATTGTTGTTATTAAATAGTTTTTCACCCATGCTAATTTTAGATAAAATAACTTCGTTGCCTTCTAACTGTTGGTCAAAAGCGCAAACAATCATCAACAATGTTTTGAGTTTTGTTCTTATCATTTTCCAACAACAAATCAATCTTTTTTTGGATTTGAAATGTAATTATCAGTGAATTGAAAAATAATTTTTTTGCACATTTCCTTTTACCCCAGGTTTCTTCAAAGGGCTTTTCAATTTGTCTTTTACAACTACTATTTTAAGTTAAATGTTGTTAATTATAGAAAAATTTTTTGTTGGGATATGGGTGTGCGTGTTTACACACGCATCAATATGTATTGTTAAATTTGAAATAATGCACGATTTTTCGCGTTTACTATTTTATGTTGTAAAATAAATTCTGTAATCATTCGATGTTTCAATATAATGTATTAAAAGTAAAACAAAGTGATTGTGTTGCGGCATCTCCTCAGTTTGCACGGCACTGCATTTAATTAAGACAAATATATTTTAACAAGTACAATTGTGTTTTAAAATTATTAAAACAACTAAGTGTTTAATCATATTAAAGGTATATTTTAGCTTTTGAAATTAAATAACAAAATTAAAAAAATTGAATTTACACATGCTTTATCTATTTTTTTAAACGAAATACGTAAAAAACACAAAAAAAACAAAAACACACAGGTGCTTACACATAAGTACATTAAATACATTAAGCACTAAAAAACAGTTAAAGTTTTGTCTATAAAACTACTTTCATATATCAAATTCTCTTCCTGACGTTTCCTTTTCAAAAATTTGTCTATCTGGCCTTGTTTCGTCATGCCTAAAGTAGTTATTTTTGAATAAAATAAACTTTTACTTTCAAGAAAACAAATTAGCGGTCTTGATAACATCAAAATAAAATGAAAATATTAAAAAAAATCTGAACCAACCTGACAACAGTTCTAGCAACTTTATATATTAATTTGAATAAAATTTAATAAATTGCAAAATGAGTTATTCAATTTATATATAAATTAGAGATGGGAAAGAACCCACATTTTTGGGTTCTTGTTCGGTTCGGGTTCTTAGAAGATATGAGTTCGGTTCTGTTCGGGTTCTTGTCAATTTTTTTTGGGGGGGGTTCTAGTTCGGTTCTAGTTCTTTCAAAATATGGGTTCGGTTCTGTTCGAGTTCTTGTAACGAAATTTGATAAAAAACAACATACAACACAATACAGTATTATTATTACAATTTATATAGCGTTTTCAAAAGTTTTCTCAAAGCGCTCAACAAATAATATGAAAAAATGTAATAAAAACAAAAATAAGCAAGAAAGCCAGAGAAAATATCTTTCAAAACATTTCAAATGTCCATGTCGTATTTGAGAAAAAGAAGCATTTCAAGTGTTGTAGTATTCATTCGACAACGTCTGTCATTTAGCAAAAGTCCACATGTTGAAAATATGCGTTCACTGGGCGTGCTAGTTGCTGGTATTGCCAATATTTTTTTTGCGAGTAATGCCATCTTTGGGAACTTTTTGTCATTCATTCTCCAGTATGAAAGCACATCTACAGTGTCGATTATCTGGTCAAGATACCCTGTTAGTTCATCCTGCGAAATGGACACAGTTCTTGTCATCTGTCCTGACAGGAATGTCTCATCTGTGGCATTGAAATCTAAATTAGGTCTTTTTGAACTTCTCTCACCTTAAAATAATCAAAGCACAAACATTTCTTTACATAACCAAAATTACTTATTTAACATATAATAAATTAAAACATTAGATGAAATTGAAACCTGTTGCTTTTCTAGAGTCTAGTTTGGTAATTTCATTATCACTTTCAGTACTACAGTCATTATGACCATCATCCTCATTTGGTAACACTTGTTGTTGGATATCCATGCGAATATCAGAATATATTGAGTTTTTTTCTTCTAAAGTAACAAATGACAAATGTTTAAATGCAGGACAGAGGACTGTTGCAGTTTTATGTATAGGATGTAAGGTATATTTTTCTTTCTAGGATTTTTCAAATGCTGATTTAACTTCACAAACCACTTCACTATCCATTGTTTTACGTTTGCAAGATGACAACAGACGATCAAGCATAGGCCAGACAAGGTGAATTGTTGGCTCCTTGGATTTAGATAGCATAACGGTCGCTTCATGAAAGTCGTGCAGAAAATCAACTATAACTTGCATGTCTGCTTTATTCAAATTTGCTCAAGTTTTTCATACTGCTTTTCATTTTCCAAGATAGTCACAACATCCTCGTATTCATTGAGCAAAGATTGCAACATAAAATATTATCTATTCCAGCGTGTAGACACATCCTGTTTTATAACCACTGCACCGAATCCAATCTTCTGTTCTACCCACCTCATCACATCCTGGACAGATTTCATTATCTTTATTTTTCGGCGTGCGTTTGTCACTGTCAACAATTTTCTTCTTTGGCACTGTTTTCTTGGTTGTAGAAAAAGCAGATTGTGGAGGAGTTTTCTTCTCTCGAGCAGCCAAAGAAGCAGCCACAGTTTTCTTCAGCTTTTTTTTTAAGAATTAATTTTCTTCTGGCTTGATTTTCTACCTTCATTTGCTGCAGTTGATGCTTTTCCAACAGAGCTTGTTTGAAAGGTGTTGATGTCAGCGCTTCTGCTGCTTCAGCCTTTCTTTTTCCAGATCGAGGCTCGGCTTTTGGTAATGGAGACAATGATTGTATCATGACCTGAATTGAAGAACCTGGAACCACAGTGTCTACGACTGATGAACTTGCAACCACGGTGTCTGCGACTGATGAACTTGCAAACACGGTGTCTACGACTGATGAACTTGCAACCACGGTGTCTATGACTGATGAACCTGCAACCACGGTGTCTATGACTGCAATAATGACATTTAGGTTACATAATTGAAAAATTACCTAAATTTAACAATCTTTAATAGGTTAAAAAGGAAATGATGGACTAAATTGAAATAGTTACCTAAGTTGTTTTCAGTCATCAATGATGGTGCAAATTCTGCATCTGTGAAGATGTCGTTATTGTATGGCCAGATTCCTCCACTTCTAAAACCGGAAACGCCTTTGTCAATAGTTGCACATTTCATGTATGCAGTCCCAAAAATTCCTGCAATTTCGAAGAAAGATTCTTTTTCCTGGGTTTGAGATCATCCACTTGTCACATTCACTTCGATAATATCCTTTCAATGGACCAAAAAAAGTTAAATTTAGTGGTTGGATCCTGTGAGTGCAATGTGGAGGGAAGCTGATAAGGTCTATACCATGATCTCTGGCAAATGTAATGGCTTCTAGTGATTTATGGCTAGCATGTCCATCTACTAGAAGTATGACTTTTCTTTCCAGGGTTGGCTTAACAACATCTGTGAAGTGCTTTAACCACTTCACAAAAACCTCACAGTCTGTCCAACCACTTTTGGTTGCAAAGCCTAATGTTCCTGGTGGTGCTCCTTTTAACAACTGAGGATTCATCCTTACTCGTGGGTAAATCATTGCCGGTGGTAAATAGGATCCATGTGCATTTACTGCGCATATTACTGTTACATTTTTCCCCTTCTCTCCACTCGTAATCTTGCCAACTTGTTTAGTGCCCTTCTTGGCAATAATACGCCCAGGCTTGTGGACAGTCGTCACACCACTTTCGTCCATATTCCAAATCAGAAAAGCAGAATTTCATCCCTTTTCCCAGCAAGTTAATAACATCTTCATTAAATTCCTTTTTACTAAGGTTAAGAACCTCGAGGTTCTTCTTTCGTTTAGCGGGCAGCCATGGTTTGGGGTCCCTGGTTTGCCTATCTATCTGTCCCCGTGCTAGCTAATGTAGGTTTATGGGATGCGTTTCCGCATAGTGCAACTCCATCTCCGTCAACTGTAAATCCGCCCCCACCCCCTCACCACCACCCCTGTAGAGTCCCGCCGCATACCTCTCCATAATCTCTATATGTCTATCCTCGTCCAATTCTACCTCCCTGTCAAACTCGTCCTGCGTCAATATCCGTTTTGGCCGTTGCGTTCTCCTCTGCTGCTGCATTTCTATCTCCGATTTACTTGAGACCATCACTCTTTTTATTCCGATCCTGCTGGATTAAATCCTCAAGGTTCTCATCATCCTTCTTCCTCTTATCCGATCTATTTTTTAAACCCCGACCCTTTGGTGTCAACACAGCAGTGTCGTCCCTATCCTTGTCTATTGTTTGTGAACTAATTCTTCCTTTCTCTTCCATCTTATTTATTCTTGCTTTCATTGAACCCATGTCCTCCATCATGTTCATCATCATCCCCTTTATCGCCACCAATTGCTCCGACATCATCGTCATCATTTCGTTACTATCAGTTTGCGATGGGTTCGGGTTCGGGTTGGTTTGTGCGTTCATCCCAAGTACAGGAGCATTCGACTTTGAAGGTATCATCGGGTTGTCAACCTCGTTATTCTCTCTCCTCATCATGGTAGTTCTGGGATTCGTTGGGTTAGGGTTAGGGCTTTATACCAAGCTTTATACATCCTGGTTGTCGGATAGTGCCTTTCATATGTCTTTGAAGTGTTCGACGTGGTATAGTATACTTTTTTGAAACACTGTGATATGATTGACCTTCACGTAAATCCTCCAAAGCTTTCTTCAAATTTTCTGAGCTATAATTTCTTCTTGTGCTTTTTTTTATGTAGTAACGACCCATCTGTAAATGATAGGAAAATGATTTAGTACATAATAAATATGTTAATAACAAAATTAGTAGGCATTAAGTAAGCAAACTGGTACCCTAGCATTGCATATCCATAGTATTTGTAAAAGGCAAGTATATAATTATGTCATGATTATGGTTTTTAAGGCAATTTTGTGTTACAAATTATAATGACAACATTGTGATTGTAATATAATAACAATGTGGTCATTATAATTTGTAACATAAAACTACCTTAAAAGTTAAACCCTTAATTATTATGGTTTTAACTTTTAATTATTATGGCATAATAATTGAAAATATAATCATTATATTTTAATAATTTAATTTTATAAAATGTTCTTTAATTTTATTAAAAAATTGCTGATATTTTCCCATGACGCACCTCATGGTGCGTTTTGGGAATCAATGGATGGTGCATTTTGGGAAAACTCACAGAACTCACGTAGACGACCATCTCGAAAATACCGTACAAAATATTGATATTATTTTAAATAGCATTTATTCACTACAGGATTAGCAACATTTTAAGATAATATACATTAAGAGATAATAATTCTGAATAACTACAGACCAATTTTAAGAATTGATAAAATTATCGAAAAAGGTAACAAAACTTACTTTTGTTCGTGAAGCAGGCTCGTATTCAAAACAAACACGCTTTCGGTGTTAAAAGTTTACTTCCGATAGACCAAAAGCGAATAGAAATAAAAATTCAAAGTTTATGGTACGCGTTATTTGAATTTCACTGGGGGTGCGTTTTAGGAACGCTCCCCTATCAAGCATAATATCAAAATTATGAACTATGCAAATGCCCAGCACTCATTATAAAGAATCATCACACTTTGCCTCTAAATGTTAGAAATTAAACAGCTAATTTATATATTTTTAATTATATCAGGCAACATGTGCAACACAAATTTAACTCAATTTGTTCATAAATGTGTTTATTTACAAACTTTTTTGCAGACGTCATAAATAATTAAATTCTGGCTGACCAACTTCAAAAGTCACTTGTAATAGCAAAAATTAAGTTTTTGTTAAACCGCAACCAATTTTTAAAACGAAAATGTCTACCGTTGTTTATCTTCACAAAAGATTTTCATAACATCCTGTCTATCAAATTAAATACGCTAAATAGTAGGCATCCTTTATAAGGGTGTTTGGGCATATATGGGTTAAATTAGCTAACTGGTAGTCATAAACTACTTGAATAAAAGTAAAATAAAAGTAGCTTCACTATTGTGAGGTGTTAGTAACTAACAGTTATCATTCATAAGAGTATATCCTGAGGAGCATAAGAGTCCACTTACCCCTACTGTTCATATAAAATTGAAAGTGTGTTAGGGTCAGGTTTGAATGAAAAAAAAACTCAAAAGACTGAAATAAGTTCATGCAGGTTATATCGGTGGAGTTACTAACTAAAAATAGTTAACTGGTAGTTACTAACTCTTCAGTAGAAGTTAAGCATAGTTTTTACACCAACAGATAACTTTGCAAAAAACTGTAATGATTTATACTGTTGCTAGCTTGTTATTAGGGATTGCTATAAAAACTATTTTCATCTTATTTAAAATTTTGAATGTATTAATTTTTTTTATTTCTACAGAAATACTACCCACCAGACTTTGATCCAACTAAAATTCCTAAACTAAAGCTACCAAAAAATCGAACTTTCTGCATTCGTCTCATGGCTCCATTTAATATGAGGTAATTCAAATTATATTATCAAACAAGAATAGTTTTTTAAATTAGTTTATAGCTTAGGAGCATCATACTGTTTCAATTTTAACTAATCAATCATCGTTTAGCATCCAGAGACCCAGTTCTCCAGAGGTAGGACAATTTTAACTAATAAAAATGATAATATTTTTTACATGTGCTGACGTATTGAGATAAATTAGTAATGTTAATAACGTTAGGCTCAAGCTTGTTATATCGTCATTAGTTTCGTTCATATATGTTCGTCATATTGTTACCCAATGAAACAAGATTTTTTGAATCTACAATTACCCACCTGAAGGTCCCGGCATTTTACAAACTTAGTACTCAATTTAATTAAACTTAAAATTTAAGGTCCCGGCATTTTACAAACTTAGTACTCAATTTAATTAAACTTAAAATTATCAAAAATTAAAGAAAAAAAAATGTGGAAACACAAAATAATAACTTTAAACAAAAATTTTGGGAAAACGAGAACCACGATATTATCGCTCACCTGCTGTCAATAGTGTGAGTGTCATTGCTCTCTGTCACAAAGGAATACAAGTCATCAATCGGCTCTTCTGATCTAAAAATATAAATAAAACAATTAATATAATTAGATATTAAAATAATCATTGCATTAACTGCTTAATATAGCAAATTATATTATAGAATTAAATAATAAAAATCAAAACCTGATTTATATAGTTTTATTATTTTAATTTAACAGAACTTTCTATTAATTTAAATTATTAAATAGCAGGTGATAATATATAAACAATGAGTAGTGGACAAAATATTTTATCTTGTGTGCTGTGGTTTTGCCATTGAAATCTTTTCACCGGAAAAGGACTTCTTTACTTCAAGACTGCGCAGTAGGGGGGAGTGAAAAAACTTTTTTTTTAATTTTATTATTCCTGTACTGCCAATCAATGACCCATTGTCTAAGATGTGTTTTCGCAAAATTTTAGCTTTCTAAATCAAAATCTTCAGGTAGTGCATCTGGTTTGAACTCTGAAAAAAAAATCAACTTTTGATTTACTGACGGAACTTTATTTTACACAATGCTTCTATATATTTTATATTCTGATACTTAAAATTACTAGTATATTTGATAGTTATTATTAAATCAAAATAAAAACAATTCCAAAGTCTCTGCACCTTCTTTTTTACCAAAATACTAAGATTTGGTGTTGAAAATTTGTATATCTTGTCTGGCTTTTATTCTGGTTCGAATAAATCCATCTCTAGCTTCTGGTCCACAAACAGATATTGAAGCCTCTGTCACAAGCTTGACGCACCTTTCTACTGCCTGAGTGTGGCAAGAATACTTTTCAATTTCAGGACAACATTTTGAAGAAATGTCATTTGAAATTTTTATGTCGCTATATTTCATTGTGAGTGGAGGCTCTGTCATTTTTTCTATCGCCCAATATATTAAATAATATTAGCTTGATGCATCAATCTTAAGCTCTGGAAGTTTGAATTCACGAACTTTTGTCCCTTTGGATTCCTTTCTTTTAAAATTTTCCGAAGAGCTAGTTCTCTTATGTGTTCTGCATCATCTTGTAACATAGCTAGCAATATATTTTCTGGATGAGCGAAGAAAGCATTTTTTTAACGGTTTTAAAGACAATGTTTTTTAGGTCATCACGCAAAATACAAACACTTTTTAACCATGTTGAACACATAAATTGGACCATATTTACAAGATGATTTTGTCTTGATATCAAACCAGGTTGGTGCATAAGCTTTCATGATGAAATTGGCTAATTTTTTCAAGTTTTCCGCCTGGTTAGCTGTTCCAATATATAACCGAAGAGACCTGTTTGCACAAGTCAACCATCGAGAATGTGTCAGTTTTCCTGGACCTTTAATAGCTAAGTTTGGTGAGAAATTGCGGAGCACATCTGATACAGATATTTTTGCTTAGCAAATCAGTATTCAGATCTGGCAGTTCTGTTGGGATTGGTTCAAATGCTTCAAATACTTTGAAGTCAAAACTGCTGTCGAGCCTTTTTCCTATACTGCCAGAAAAACTATTAGGGCCTGTTGTAGTACCGTCGAGACTGGAGAACAAATGGCGAAACGGTAATTCATTTGCGTGTAACAGGCACGCACACCATTGCAAAGGTCGTTTCGGGTGTTTTTCTAGTAAAACAATGACTCCATTTTTGTGTCCCATGTTTACCGCTGTGCCTTCCAATTGTCACCAAGGAAAAACAAAATTCAAATTTCATTTCAAGAAAATTAACAATGCTTTTTTCAATCGTATTTGCTTTTCCAGAATCAATAGATAACCGATGTATTCAGAAAATGGCTCTGACAAGAGAGAAATATGCTTCTCTGTATTATTTTTTCGATGTGCTGAATTGTTAGTAGTAGTCACGACTAAAGTCTTGTCTTTACGACCGTCGAAATAAATAGCTGTAATAATTTGATTGCCCTCAGCAGCATATTGCATATGTTTGCGTACTTTTTTTTGCTCTCGACGTAACTTGCTTCTGTCTATTACTTTTGATGAATCGTCTGTACTAATAACATTCAAATCAAGCAAGACAGCGTAACAATAAATGCAGCAGATCGATCAGAAATTAAAGTTCTATCACATGCGGTAGCTAGATTTTGCAACTGACATCTCATTTGTTGAATTTATTTGCCAGATTGACGTAGCGTTTCTATGATGCGAATCTCATCCTCATATATCAGTTGAAGAACTACCAGATGTTGAAACTATCATTTGGGTAGACGAAGTACTTGGACTACAGACGGATTTTTTCATAAAATCATCATACTTTCGTTTCCTTGTATCGAAACAAATTTTCTTGTTAGAAGTACAAATACAAATTTTTTTTATGAAATGCCTTCATGGTGCGCCACCTCGAGATAAAGTCACACACTTTTAATTTTTTGTACGAATGATGGTTTCCCATAGGGTCATCGATTAACGGAAGGAAATTAAAAAATAAGAAAAATTTTTTTGCCAAAGTCACTCCACTCTACTGCGCAGTGCATAGAAGGCATGGGTTAGAAGTATTTCTTTTCACTCCGACTTTCAAAAGGTAAATAGTTAAGCTTGAATTTTGGGATCAGCATTGTAGCAATGTGCATTTGATCATCCTCAAGGGATGGTTTGAATCTAGTCTGTATGCTGTCAATAAGAGAATTTACAAGTGGCTTGATGTCATCTTCTGCTTTTCTCAAACTTATTTGTAGTTTCGATTGAACACCCATTACCGTTGGTATGACATATCTTAAATAGCAATCATTGTCTTTCTGCAATATTTCCATGGGTCTAGCAATTGGCTTAAACAATAAGATATGGGCTTTCAAAAGCCCATTTCATTCTCTTTCATTACGGCAAATCCTATTTTAGTTTCACACTCCCGAACTTTGTTTAGTCCCATTTCTGCAACACGTTTGACAGCCAAATACGTCAGACATCCATCTTGTGCATGTAGGATTTAAGAATGTCACACCAGCTATTTCTTCAACACTGTCAGCATGTTTAGTACTGCGGTTGACCGCATTACTTAAGGCTTGCACTTCACCCATAGCTCTGTCATACAGTCGCCTATACTTGTCATCCTTTCGTGCATTCAAAGCGTCCACGGATACAACCAAGTTTAGAGTATGATTAGCGCATTTGACATGCTTTTTCAGCTTGTTAACGATGTTTAAGTCAACTGTAGTCTAATCACCTTGAATTAAGTCTACAACACTAATTGCTTCTAATTCACTTTCATCAGATTCGTCGACATATCATCATGATCTGTAGTCACGTCTGCCTGAGTAGTGTTCTCTTTTAAAAACAATGACATCTTGATCATGTTAGCGGCATTGTCAGTGACACATGTTACAACTTTTGAATTAATGTGAAATTCCTCAAAGACATCTATCATTTTCCTGCCTAACGCTTCTCCGGTATGTGCATGTTTCATTCTTTGACAGGTAAGAACATTAGAATTTTTTTAAAGAGTCTTTTCATCAATAAAGTGAACTGTCATTCTAATGAATGATCTTTTGTGACTACTCCATAAGTCAGCAGTGACAGAGAAATTCAACATTGTCCAATGTTTCTACAAGCTTTGCATTTGATTGACTGTAGACTTCATCTGTGTATCGTCCCAAACTGCGCCTGCTAAGTATGTTTATCTCCAGAGTGACAATCAAACAAAACTTTTGGAAACCTGTTCTCTCTTCCGTGGCTAGAGGCGTAGCCTAACGTAAGTACAAGCCTGAGTGCTCATTATGCAAATTTCATTTAGGAGGCGAACGCATTTTGTTTACATATATGTAGTAACGTAAATAAACAAGCCTTGTAAAGTGTTTAAAAATTTTATTAAACATCTAATCATGAACATATTTTAAATTAAATTCGGTACAACAGTATTTACTTGCCTCTATTAGAGCAGTAGTGGTGTGACGTAAGGCAAAAAAGGTTTCTCTCGTTAAACAGCCAGAGGTAGTTTTCATCTGTTTCCAACTGTCCAACCAAAATAAAAATTTTGTCAGGTAATTTATGCCACTATCATCTATAGAAGAATTGATAGGATTTCTATAATCATCTCGCTTTATAATTCCTGCATTTGGAGTTTTTACATTAACAATTCTCCACCACCTCAAAATTATTTCAATGAAATGGGAAGTTTCTAAATAGTTAGGAAGATTTTGTTTGGGTCCTAATTCCTTCAGAGCTTGAATAACAAAATCTGAAAATACACGTAAAACAAGTTTCACATTTTGTTTTTCTATGCTGTTCGGCCATAATGATTTGACCGTTAAACCATATCCATGTTTCAGCAAGTTTCCAGATTCCAGATTCTATTGACTGTAATTCTCTAATTGTGTTGAAGGATGCAACCATAGAAACACTAGGATCATCAAATTTAGGAAAAAAGAAGGAGACAGTGTCATTTTTTTGGTTAATCCAGTTGTTTCTGATACATTTAAAAATGTGAACTGGATCTATTATATAAAATAATGGTCTGGTGTTGTCAGATGGATGAGGATAATTAATATTTACATTTGGTGGATTGGAAAACATTGACATCGCTTTCTTATTGATAGCATTATTATCTGTTATTATGCTAATAACTTTAAAACCAATTTTTTCTAAACCAATAACAATTTTTTTACATATACTAAACAATATATCAGCCGATGGAGAATTAACAGGGAAGATATGAACAACATCTTTATAAGGAGACAATAAACTGTTAAGCATAAAAACTTGAGCAGTTGTTGCCAAATTATTTGAAGATCCACTTTGTCCCACAATATTACCACCCTTATAATCTAAATATGGTTTAAGATAAATTTCATCAACCATTAGCATTACCTTTTTGTCTTTCTCATTTAAATATTTAAATTTTTTAGACATGTAATGCAGACACTCTTCTCCACCTTGTTCATATTCAGGTCCTAGTCTATAAGAATTACAAACTTTTCTGATATTGGCTGGATGAGGCAAAATTAGGCAGCCAAAGTTTCTAACATATTCGTAACCTTTAGGTGATATTAAATGGAAAATACAGGAAAATATAAAAGTATCATCGTCGTTCTTTATTGTCTGATATCAATTCCAGTTGATTATAAAAAAATTGAAAAAAAACTTCATTATCTTGGTCATTATCTTTTACAATTTTTAACAATTCTTTTAGGTTTGACAAATTATCCTTTTTATTGTTGAAAAGACCATCTCTCTCTTTTTTTTCAACTTCATCCAAAATAGTCGTTATATCAAACATATAATTGACATTTATCGGAGACTCAATATCATTAATAAATTGTAAGCGAACACTTTTAAAAAACAATTTCAGTTCTAATTCCTTGTTTACCACGAGTAGATATACTATTTCTGTTGGTACATCATGTGATAAATTAAAAAATAAGATATTGTCTCGACATACGACATTCCAAAATTTAGAAAGTTTAAGTTCCTTTACTTTGTCGCACAATTCAGAAAAACTATTTATTTTGTTTTTTGTTAAATATTGACTGTGCTCCATCAGACTTTTTGTAATTGCATTGTCAATATTCAAACTTTCCGTTCGCTGCCTCTTTTTATCCGGCAATACCCTGAGAGTTACTGATGTGCTGTAGTAGTCTGGGCATCCAGGAAATATTGAAGGAACTGAATCTTTTTTTAATCTTGGCCTCTCGAGAGAAGTCAAAATCATCTTTCCAGATTTAGCATCAAATGATGATTTTTTAGTAATGATGGCCTCAGCTGGAAAGTGCTTTTCACATACCTTAGAAAAAAAAATATAATTATTATTTGTAATTAAATTATTAATAAAATTAATAAATTTCAATAAACATGCTACTCACTCACATTACAACTAATAATAATAAAACAAATAACATAGCTATGTAATGTATTATAATTTTGTAACAATGTAAGGAATTTAGTTAAAATCTGAAATCCTGGTCATGCACTTTATTCAATAGATCATGCTTACTCGTGAATGCAAAGTAGGTTTCCAATCTTTTCTCGGAATTGCAGATATCCATTTTTGAAACATGTGTTCATCTTTAGGAAAGCAAAAGGAATGTACTTTTTGTTCAATTGTATAATTCCCTTGGCAAAACGGAACAATACATTTATTCACCATTATTACAAAATATTATTCCTTCCGAAATTTTTTGATAATTAAATCCGAATAACAAGTAACCAATTACGAAGAAACAAATAAAACGTGCAACGCCGATCAAGTAAACAAGAAAATGAAATAAATCGTTCGCCTCCTATTTGATCAAAACATTAAAATAGGGATGTGAGCGCTCAGGCTACGCTAGAGGTTGCATGTCCTCCACGAGCATATTAAGTAAGCTCTGGTTGATTTTCTCTTCAGTCACTGGTGCAAGTTTACGTTTAGGTTTAGGGCCTTGCTACAGTTTAAACAATTTTTTTTACCATGGAATTTCTCAGTGATGGGCACTTCAACTGATATTTAGAAATGGGAATTTTTTGTAGACAAAATTATCTTTTAACTCTTTGAGTAGTTAACTACTTTTGAGTAGTTAAACTACTCTCTAACTACTTTTGAGCCGTTAAACTACCTAAACTACTAAGTAGTTAACTACTGCCCATTGTTGGATACTGGTACCTTCAAACCCGTACATAAAATTAATTTTGACCAATACATTCTAAATTGTGGGAACCTATGCATGAACATCACAGAATTGAAAAATTTCTGGCTAAAGTTTTAAATTTTCAGATGTCTAATTTTTTTAAATAATTTAATTTTCAGTAGCAGCATTTAATGATCTAATTTTTTATAAATCATAATTTAAAATGTTAAAACGGTTTTTTATATTGTGAATTGATTTAAAAATAGTAAAAACTAAATTTTTTTCTCAATTAAATAGCTAAATTATATGGTATCTGATGATATAACATCGTAACTTCAGTTATATAATGTCAGAACTACTGATAAAACTTTCAGGTGCAATACTTGCGGTGAATATATTTACAAAGGAAAGAAATTTAATTCCCGAAAAGAAACCGTTGAAAATGAAAATTATTTGGGCCTCCATATTTTCAGGTTCTATATTAAGTGTCCAAGATGCATTGCAGAGATAGCTTTCAAGGTTTGGTTTGTTAGATTATTATCATTTGTGATGGCCATGATGAATTCTTCATCATTGCTTCTGAAACATAATGGCGATTAATATTCTGCTTCTCTGAGCCATCTTATGTAAAAAAAGATTGTTTCAATAATTTTATGGTTTAGTATTATATTATAAATTATTATTTTATTATAAAGAGTAAAATACTTTATTTATGGCCATGATGAATTTGTTATTTCTACTGAAACATTAATGGCGATTAATATTCTGCTTCTCTGAGCCATCATTTATAAAAGTTTGTTCCAATGATTTTATGGATTTGTTTTTTTTTAATTTTAAGTTATGTTGATGGACTGTAGGATTTTTTCACATAAAAATCTATTATTGATTTACGTTATTTATTGTTTGTTTTCTAAATTTTCTTAATATGTTTTTTTTATTATAGAACAAATATTTGTATGTGTTAGACCTGCACCCAAAATATTTTATGCTGTGCATTATCCTTTGACAATGGGTTGTAATGATGCCTATGCATGTATTAAATGAAGTTGATTGATTATATTTATGACTGAGCTCCCAATGTTACAGTGATTACCTGTTGAATAACATTAATAAAACAAGTTTCATCAGTTTAAAATGTTGAGTTATGTCATTTTTATGGGTTGCAATGATGTTTTATGCATGTATTAAATGAAATTATATGATTATATACGTTACTGAGCACCCGTTTTTACAATGGTCACATGTTGAATAAGCTTAATCAAATTTGTTACTTTTTAATTTAAAATGCCATATATTAAATAGACTGATCCCGTGAGCACTGATTATGTGCTGGAAGCTGGGGCGACAAGAAATTTTGAAGCATTGAGGACTGCTGAACAATTGGCAATCAAAGAACAAAAAGAAAAAGATGAAGAAGAAGCTGGAGATCCGATGAAGGTATGTGATTAATGGTTGTTTTTGTATGTGGGGATATGTAAGTTGATGCTTAGTTTAGCATATTCAATATTGTTTTTCTTTTCTAAAAAATATCCTCTCAACCAACTGTATTTTCGTTTTTTATTCATGTTTTTGTAAGCGTATCTTTTTAAGTAATAATCACTACATTTACATTGTAGCCAATTTTCTACATATTAAATTATAAATTATCCATTGATTTTTAAATCAGTTTTTCTCATCTCTGTCCATCAAACGATTCAATAAATATTAGAACTGTTTTATTCCTTAACATTTATTAGAGATGTCAAAATTCACCAAATATTTGGCCATATTTTGGAGTTCTGCTTTGTGTGTATTAAGTAACCAAATAGGTTAACATTACAACTTCCGTTTCTGCTATAACGTTTTTTTTAGATAAAATAATGCTTTTAATCTTTAAACTTTAATTAGTAATAGCGGGCGTTTTGTGGTCATTACAGCTTAGATATTAAAAGTATTTCAATTGATGATTGTGGCGTTGATAGGCTCTGATTGCGAATTTGGTATAGTGCAATAGCAAAAGTTCTTGCAGCTGACAATACAGAAAAATTTCTATCTTTTCATTACAATTTACAACTGCTAAATTAATTTTCAGTATTTTTATTTTTTATGATAAAACAATATTTAATACCTAATCTCTTCTTTGTCTACATTTTCTATTAGCTTCCGAAGTTGTTTTTGGTAACTTTGCTTTACGAGAACATTAATTAATTTATATATACATATGTTATGGATTTTTCAAATTTCAATACATACAAATTTGCAATTGAATGGTAGTTACAATGCAATCAATTTGAAAAGTTTATCTCATTAGTATGTTTTTCGTTTTTAAAATATTAAATTTTTAAAACTTGTTTTTTTTGGTGTTTGGCCTTTTCCAACATCTGATTCTATAATTATATTTAAATTGTAAGTAAATATAACGGTTTTCTGTTATGTATTGAGAGGCATGATGTAGTTGATCTTTCATATCAATGTACCGTGAGGTAACTTGTCAGGTCTGATTTCACTTTACTGAAATGTTTTCCTATCTTAACAGTCGCATCACTTTGTCCAGTGTTTCATTTCATTGTTATTATTTAACCGTTCGTTTATTCATTTAATAAATTTAGTACAAAGTGATTGAAAGAGTTAATTTTTTACCGTATAGCTGTTAGAAAACCGAACAAAAGCATCACAAAATGAAATGAATATGCTAGAAACTTTAGAAGATTTGAAAGAGATGAAACAAAAACATGATCACGTACATTTGAATGATGTTCTTGAAAAGCAGAAGGTTTACCAAGAACATCTCCAGAAACTTATAGAAGAAGAAGACGAAGAAGAGATAAAGTAACATTATTTATTTGTTTTTTTTGGTACTTTGTTCATGCGGGTGATGATGAAAGCAGTCAAAATTTTATCATAATCCATGTGATGAGCTACATAAATTCTGCTTCTCTGAACTTACAACTTGTACATGTTTATTATAGTAATTAATTAAGTGAAATTAAATTTTTTTTAACAATATTTCTAAAATTTATATTTATTTCTTCAGGAAAATATATAGAAACAACATTAAAAGAATAAACGATGCTAGTGACGACAACCCTGCCTTCAAAGTACCAAAGATTTCTCATTTCCCAAAGGCCTGTAAATAATTTTAATTTTTTGAAAATTGTTTCATTCAGCTAAAAATTGTATGCTATAAGAATCTTCATTAAAATTTTGAGGATAAAAAAATTAATTACACTTCAAGTTGCATTAAAGGTTTTAAATGAACCGGTATGGTCGCACAATTTATTACTTAACAAGCATTTTTTGATTATCCTAGGTCTCTTGTTTTAATTTTTAGTTTTTCATGGACTAATTTTTTCTTTTTGAAAACGTTTGTTAACTCAATTTGTTCAAATTGATTGCAAAAATAAACTGAAATTGTCATAGGATTATAGGAGCAAATTTTTGGTTTTTTGCATTAACAGTTTGAAAAACCGTAATAATATTTAAACTCGTACAATACAATTAAGGTTAGCTAGTGAATCGTAGCTGCATGAATAAATTGATGGCAAATTTAATATGACAACGCTTTTATAGTCAATTAAATTAAACCTCACTACAGCTATTAGTAATAATTTAAATCTATTTGTCAATAAATGAAGCGTTTTTTTTGTAAACTAGACACTAATTTATTGATTTTATATTCTGCAGGCGTCGAAAGATGAACCCAACAAGTTTGTTTATTCAAAACCACAGACGAATTCTCTTTCAAACTTGGTTCGACCTAAAACAAAACCATCAGAGTCAAAAGGAAGTGCTTCTATAGCAGAATGTTCAAATCTTCAACAAAGTGTGAATCCGAAATTGTCGACAACGTCATCGTTGTCCTTATTAGCAGGATACAGTGACAGTAGTGATTCTGACAGTTGATCAAAATTTTTATGCGTTTTTATTTGAATTTTACTTTTTAAACTAGAATAACATTTCACTTATTCGTTGTTGAAGGGATAAGCATTTTTTATAAACATTTTTTATATATACACGAGAAAGTAAATATTTTTGAAAAATTATTGTAAATAGAATAAAATATAAATAAAAATTGTTTTTTATAGCTTTTTAAAAATTGAAAAATAATCATTATGATTTATTAGGCGAGTAGGAAATAGGAATACCTGGAGTTACTATTTAGATACTATGACGCTATGCACAGGGCACTGGAGGAATGACATTATTGTTATTGAATAAATGAGATAGGTGATTTGAGGAACTCGAGTGTATTGTGAGGTAGTCTCTTTTAGTGCCCCACAGAAAATTTCAATTTGTATTTAGCGATAGCGGTTTTAAATGTCAAACAACGCACACGATTAGTCGTCATTTTATATGCGGGAAGGGGTCATCTGTCGGGACTGTCATTGGCTATATCTATCAAATGTATTTTCATACTAACTATATTTTTCATCGACTAGTGCTCAGTTTCTGCCTAGAACTACAATGGATACTTTCCGTCCGATATTGTTAAGGCTGAACTTCTTTCGTTCAACTGTTACTCATACTCAGCACTTGTAAATTCACCGGAGTAGGACCGGGTAGCAGCCGTGACGCTGGGCAAATCTAATTCAACGAGATTAACGTAAATGTGACTTCGATCTTTTTCGGAACAAATTTTTTCAAATTTAGATCATCTTGTAACGGACAACATTTCTTTTAATACAAATTCATCAGTGAGATACTCCTATTGTTTTAGGTTAAGACTGTGATTTTAAATGTTACAGAAGAAACGGTTTAAAATATTTATATATTAAAATATAATCATCAAAATGTCAAATATTATTGATAATATCAAATCTTATTTTTAATCTATTGAAAAATTAATGTTCAAGAATTATGACAGGATAAAGTCTAAAAAATATTATTTGCAGAAATAACATGATATGGATATGAGGCAAATATGCTAATGAGCTATATCACTGATAAAAATTTTGATTGCACTTTAATTAACACAAAAGATAAAATCATTTAAAAATACACGTAGATTGTAGCCCAATTTAAAACGTAAATTGAAAATAAAGCAGTGTCGGAGTCGAAGATTTTGGCCGGAGTTGGAATTTTTTGAGGGGCTGGGGCAAATTTTTTTGAGGGGCCAACAACAAGCCCACTAATTTTTTTATACGACTCCGGAAAAGGTTATTAATTTTTTTCTGATGGTGTATTTTGGAAAGGTTATTAATTTTTTCTGATGGTGTATTCTGGAAAATAAATGTGTGTAGCAATAGGTAATTATCTTTAATAAAGAAAATAGATACTAAATAATATCAACGAAATCACAATTTTTTTCAGTTAGTTTTAAAACATAAAAATATAATAATATTACAAAGAAAAACAATTACTTCGACTGATTTTAAGTGTTTTTTAAAGTATTTTTTTCAGTAATGGTGAAATCATGATCCAAGTTGAAAAAATTTAGAACATAAAATACAGCACTTTTACTTAGAAAAACAATTACATTGACTGATTTTAAGTGTTTTTTTATTTACTAGTGATAATAACGTGAAATTATTATGCAAAAGTTGAACATTTATTCTGGGACCTGGAGTCGGAAATGTTTACTCGGAGTCGGATTTTTTGAGTGGCCGGAATCGAAGTCGGATATTTTTCATCCGGCTCCGACACTCTGAAATAAAGTAACAGCGAATCAGAAGCGGCAATAAGAATAAATGATAGGTTTAATTTAATTGAGTTTGTGGTCAATGTGGAGGTTTCTGCAAGCTTGCTTTAGTTGGTCCCAAAACAATAGCGTTAAAACGGTATGGGGCCCCACGCGAAACAATGATGCACCCCAACCCTTATAAAACCCCCAAAGCCCCTCTGATTTGAAAACTTTGATGAAACAGTCAACGACTCCATTGTAAAACATGCCTTTTCCTTCTGGGCAAACTCCTTGATTGTACACACGTGTTGACACCACGTCAAATGGCGTCATAAAAAATACAACAACAAGCCCACTGATCATGCTTGCTGTGAATCCATTCTTCCAGTCATGAGGTGATTTGAATATCTGGAGTTGGTGCAGAGTCAGTCCATATTTAAACACTAAGAATTTTATTGAATTTATAAAAAGATTACATTAAACCAGATTTTAATTGATAAAATATTAGATTACATAGGCCAAATGATTTAACGAACTTTAGCATCAACTATCTTTTGTTTGAAGAAAGAAAATGTAGTGAGTTGAGTTGCGGATCCCACCATAACCCTAGGAACTGAAGAAGAAACACCTCGCCACAATCCAAATAACCCATGCTGCTTGTATATTGTGTTGATAGCCTCTCTCATGCTGTGGTGACAGTGCTGGTGACCAACAGCTATATCTTTTACTGCCATTGATTGCAATTGTATTTTTACCTAAAATATATTATTGGAAAATCCATACAAAATTTTAGAAAAATAATTTTTTGTGAATAGAAATAAAATTGCAAAAACAATCTACCATGAAAAATGGACTTCCAACAAATGCTCCAACACATCCTGACAGCCCAGCAGCAATAACTGAACGAAAAGGTGATACTTGTTCGCCATTCAATCTTATAAATCCCCAATTATCTAATGTTTCATACACACCAAGTCGAATACCATTCATAAAAAGTTGGTACCATAAAGCTGGAACTAAGCCATTTTGTAGGGCTAAAATGCCATCCTTTTTTGCAATTACATAAAATGCATGAACCACATTTTTGTAATGAACCTGATAATTGCCTGATTTAAAAAGTTTTAATTAAAATTTAAAATGAATTATGCCTAAACTCAATAGAATTAATAACCTCGAGCCATCAATTCTCCCTGCAGCTGCATTCTTGTTTTAGCAACTTCAAGAGGATTTGTGAAAAAACCAGCCCCGCAAGCTGAAACTCCGCCAATAACAAACTCAAGTGGTCCAAGAACCATATTGCTTAAAAATTAAACACTCGCAACTACAACATGCTTTTCAGATTTGAAACAACTTTTACTTACAGCTAATTTTAAAATGTTCATTAGCTTTATAAATATCTGGAGAAAGCAATAAAAATTAATGATTAAAATTTAAATTGTTTAGTTTAAATTCAATACATGAGAGGAAATTACAAAACATAAAATCTTTAAAATGTTATTATTGAAAAGTTATTCCATTAAAAATTTCATTGTTTTTTTTATGATGAAAATTATAATTAATAGTATTAATTAATCAGTTAACACCGCAGTTGACATCAGAGAGATAAAACAATTTTTAAAAAAATAAAATCTTCACTTAATTAATTAGAATATAGAAATTTTATCATTTCATGCCTTTGAAGATGTTTTTTCATTCTAATTGCTTCTTTTTGTTTTGGATTTTTTGAATTATTTATATTTTATTTTTAAGACTACACCTTTAGTGTATATTAAATTATTGTAATATGACACGAGTACATATATAATATTATATATAATAATTAATATTAATTTAATACCATAATTTAAAATCTTTTAAAATTTAAAATTAAATTAAATGTATTTTGTATAAGTATATTATATTTTATAATTAAAAAGTTAATTAAATAAACAAAAATAAATTGATAAAACAAACAAACAAAAATAATGATACAGTAATTTATTTTTTTTATGTTAACAACCCTTACCTTTTGGTTACCCACAATAATAACCTCGAGTCATCAAACTATTTAACCGTTTTGTTTATTATTTACCTATCTAACTAATTTATTATTCCTACCTATAGAGTTCAAAGATCGAAGACTGAACGTGCATTCCGTTACTGCTACTACTACACTAGTACCACTACTACTAATCAACGCCATCATCATCACATCATCATTTGTTGTGTGTTGTTGTTTTGTTATGTCTGCAGCATATATATATATATATATATATATGCTGAAGATTGATGTTAATTTCGATATACCACGTGGTCCTAAAAAGAAACACAAAAGGGACAAACTACGCGAAACCATTCGCTATTTAGGACTAGTCTGCGAAAAAAATTTATCAACAGAGCTTCCTACCTACGTTAGTTCTAACTTACGGGTACCTAATAATGACTCTATTCTTAAATTTAACTTCAACGAAATTAAAAGCGACATATGCAATATGTTGCACAATCAGCAACTTTATCTATGCAGCATGCTGAACGCAGCCTCTCGAGTTCATAAAAGTGAACTTAATAATACCAACAACACCAACGTAAACAATGTTAAAAGCTACTCGGTACAGCTCGGATGCGTCATCTCCTAAGATCGTTCATCCGGCTTCGTCCGAAATCAGCACACCACCATCTGATGAAATCTTGAAGCAGGGAACCCAATCGCTGGTGGATCTCAACGTTGTAGCTGCTCCTGCTCGTTCTTCACTTTCAACTCCTAACAATAACATCAATATAAACAACTCTAATTCCAGTGGCCACGAAGGCTCTTGGAGCACTGTTACTTCAAAAAAAAAAAGAAAAAATACTCCCCATATACTGTAGGTTCCAACTAACCACTACAACTTCACTACCAAATCATCATCCTGTTGACCTACCAAATGTTAATACACCATCGCTGGTCAACTCACATCGACATGTAGAAAACACAGTTGAGGTAGCTTCCATTTTAACTTCTTTGGAAGAATCCACTCAGCCAGTCGAGTCAGTCATGATGGGCCCTTCCCAGCTGGTTGAACCACATAAACAACAACAAACCTCATCGCCGATGGGTCCTCCCTCCGATGTCAATTCTGCGACATCAATAAATCACAACAATGTCTGTTAACAATACTTATTCCACAATCAATTCTATCCAACAACATCCTCAACCATCAAACAACGATGATGACGATCAACCTTTCAACGCTTACAACACCCACATCGACCCCACAAAGAACCTCCTAGATTCATTCACCAGACAGTCATCCTACTACACCACAAGAGATCTACTCAACATTCTAGAAGCCAAGTACATCAACAATTATGATCACCCTCTACATCTACTTCACATAAACAGCAGAAGTCTTTTAAATAAAATTTCTGAAATTTTAATTTTAAATAAATTTTTATCTTATTTTTTTTCCATTATTATTATATCAGAGACATGGCTGAATGACGAAACCGCTAAACTAGTTCATATGAATGATTACAATTTTGTTTTTAAAAACAGGTCTGACAGAATAGGTGGTGGAGTCAGAATCTTCATCAGATCAGGCATTGAATTTTCTATGGTAAACAATTTGCTTCTGAACGATACCATTATTGACCTTCTTGGTGTCAATTTAAAATTAAACAACACACACGTAAATATTTTAGCAGTATATAGACTCCCCAACACTGACCCTAATATCTTAACCCAAAAGCTCGAACTTATTTTACCCACATTCAAACCACACATTGGCGACTTTAACCTTGACCTCAATAAACTCAACAGTGACAACGTCGTTGCTGACTTCTCTAACCTACTATCATCATACAACTTCTTACCTCTTATAACCTCCTCTACTCGCATCTCAACTTCTTGCTCACTCATCGACAATATCTTTACTAACAACGTAACTCCTCACTTATCTGGAATAATACTGTCTGACATATCTGACCATTTCCCTATATTCGCCATCGCTTCCAAATCAGAAAACTTTAACCATGCCCCTATTAAGCACTTCAGAAACCTAACTGAAGAATCTATAAACAACATCAACAATTTCTTATCGAACCACAACTGGAATTCTTTGACTTCTCTAAAAAATGTCAACGACTGCTGCTCTGTTTTGAATACTATCTTAACTCACTCTCTAGACACTTTTGCCCCCCTCCATCCTGTCAAAAACAAAAAATGTTGAATCAATGACAACATTCTAAGCCTTGCGAAAAAGAAAAAAACCTATACATCATAAGCCTTAAATATCCAACCACCCGCAACATTGCCACCTACAAAAGCCTCAGAAACATGTTCACATCTATTAAACGAAAAACTGAACGAAACTACTTCTCTAACAAACTTGAACACACACATAACAATGTTGGACAAAAATGGAACACTATCAAAGACATTCTAAACAAGCAACCTCCAAACTCATCAATCACCAAACTAACTATCAACAACCAAGCAATTGAAAATAAACAAGAAATTTGTGACCTTCTCAATAACCACTTTGCAAACATCGCTAGCCAACTACTCTCAAACCAACCTCCCAGCTATGGTAGTCCTACAGATTTTATGAGCCCATCCACACCACATTCCATTTGTCTATATCCTGTTACTGAACAAGAAATATTAACTACTGTTAATATCTTGAAAAACAAAAAGAGCTATGCAGACGATGGACTCAACATGTTTCTTATCAAACGCATAATTTTCTCTATCATATCACCACTTAATCATATCTTCAACTTATCACTAAGCACTGGAATCTTTCCTGACTCATTTAAAATATCCAAAATCATACCGGTATTCAAGAAAGGAAACAAAGATGACATTAACAACTACAGACCCATCTCCATTCTTTCCCCGCTGTCAAAAATTCTTGAAAAACTTTTCTTTAAAAGGGTCATTCTCTGTCAACTTGAACCATGGTCCACGCCCGACCATCTCCGATTTTTTTTAAATTTGAACAGTAAGTACCTCAATGTATTTCATCGACAAAATAAAATTTTTATAAAAAAATTTCAATTATTTTTCAAGTTATGAAGATTTTTGTGACAGCATCCTCAAATTTTTAAGCGATTTTTTTCAAAACTTGTACCTACGTAGAACGCTATATCTCTTGAACTAGCCAACATATCTTGATGAAATTTTTTGTGCATATCAGTGAAACAATGTAATAACAAAAAAAATAAATGTTATTGTTTCGAATCAAAGGATATTTTGAACAAAAAATCTAGAAAAAAATGAATTTTTTGAAAATTTCACCGATTTCAAAACAGCGTAGCTCAAAATCTATCGCAAAATAAATAAATATTTTTTGTTATTTTAGAAGTACCTTATAGTCACAAATAAATCACAAAATTTCGTTAAAATCTGTATTGAATTTTTTGAGCTATCGGAGCTCAAAATGTCAAAAATATGAAAAACTTCTTTTGTTTGGCGCCATTTTTAACTATGAAGAACCAAACGTTTTTTAATTTTTAAAATTTGTTTATATAGTGCTTTTATGCTT